AAGATTAGATTATTCCATAATGTGCAAAATTGATACATGATTTCTTCAGAGAAACGTATTGAATTTTTAACAGTGGTCTGATACATAGCCATAGAATCATAGAGTTGGAATGGGCCATAAAGGTCATCTAGCCCAACCCCCTGCATGCAGGATTAGCCTAAAGCATCCCTGACAAATGTTCGTCCAGGTGCTGCTTGAAGACTGTGAAGTTCCTACCACCTTAATATCAAGGGATGAGTGGCAACTCTATTGTTTCACGAAAATGAAAACTATGTTGTACCATGCTTCTTTTGGACCATGAATTTCAATCTTTAGCATCTGCTATTTAAGAAAACAATCAGGTTGTAGGAGATGCAAAAGACCTCTACCTAAGACCCTGGAGAGCTGCTGCTGGTCAGAATAGACAATACTGACCTTGATGGACTAATAGTCTAATTCACTACATGTCCCTCCCTTTCCCTGGCCAACCCCCCCAACCAGTGGCCTGGATTTAATTTGACATCAGGTTACCACTGCTATACATAAACAAATCTGACTGACATCTAAACAAATTGTTTTACACAGTACTTTATGATTTTATGATTGTGATTTTATTATGTTTTAATTCGTTATTAAATGACTGTTTAACGATGTTGCTGTAAACCGCCCTGAGCCCACTCGCTGGGAGGGCGGTATAGAAATCAAATAAAGTATAAAAACCTAACTAAAAGTTGGTCAGCTATTATAGTTCTAGCATTATACAAGTATCACACTGCAATAAAAACTCATCCACATGGAAAGGAGATCCATCACAACAGAAAGTCCAGAAAACTCTTCTATTTCAACCACGTAGCCTCACCTACCAACACAATTATCAGCTTAAGACACATATGGTATGGAGAGAGGATTATATACTTCTCTTCCCAGCTGTCAGATCCTTGATTCCAAAAAGCACACCAATATTCTCAGTATTCAACATGACTTCATTAGGCTTGTACATATCCAACAAGAAACTGAACTGCCACTGCCACTAGAAAGTCTGTATTAATTACAAGTTGCAAACCAAAGAATACTTGGAATGTTACCAGCCCTATTTCACTTAAGCCTGTCGCATGTACACACTAAGTGGTTATTTCCCCCAATTTTGCCATTCCCTATTCCCTACATCCTATATTGCAGGACTTATCATGCAACCAAAACTCACAACACCCCACTCCAGCAGCTGAATGCAGCCAGCCCATCAGAGATTTCGTAAACTTCCTCATTTTGCTGTTTGCCTGAAACTGCAAAAACGTGGAAGGTCGCCAAGCATCTGGCAGGCTATATAATACATGGTGGATGGGTCATTTTCATCTTAGTGGGTCAAAAACTGCAGGCTTGTTATACGGCAAGCACTTTAAATAAATTAGTATTTAACATGCTCATTATAACAAGATGTACAGATTGCAGGACAGAAAAGTTAGGAGTACGTTCTACTGCATATATGGATTTCTCATGCATATGTGGGTCGTGGATTGTTCTCTGCAAGGAGAGCAGGATCATGCTACACCCAACTCACTTATCATGTTATCCATCTCATCATTCACCATTTATTCAGTGTGATTTATGTTGCTCAAACAGAATGGAAGCTAAGTCATTCGTGCGGTGTGCAAGCTTGTAGTTCAATGCACTGTAACTATGCATTTTCAGAAAATGCCACAACATTATGCAATAAGGCCTATTACAATTAATTGCACTACCATTAGCTGTAATACTTTACAAAGATCACAGATCAAAAAACAACAATACGAAACACCATACTGATACTACAAGGCCCAAAATATTCCTCAAAACATATCTAGCATGTGCAGGAGTAAACAACTTTTACTTTAGGTTAATCTCCAGCCATTATTTGTACTCACCATCAACCTCTCGCGTTTTCCTGAGGCATATAACTTTGGAGGAGGGGGAGAGAACTGGTGGTTGGCTCTCTCATCTGCAGAAGACACAAAAGTGCCTGACTGCTTCTGCAGAAGTCCAGTGAGAAAGAAGAATCCAATCGTTCTCTTGAGCTCACACAGAAAAAGCAAGTATATTTTCTTTGCCTTCACATTGGACATTTTTGCAGAATACCACCTCCTGCTCAGTACAGGTATAAGAAAACCTTTGTCGTAGATATGCAGGTTAGAGGCAGTTAACAGAAGGAGAGTAGCATCTGCAGAGTGCACATGGAATGCACTGTAATTTTCCAAAATGAAAGACTATAAATTCTTATATGTTCATATTCAAAATATGGTTTACCACATCACAAGCAATGTTAGCAGATACGGACATATCTACAGAATGTGGATCCAGTTTACAGCAAACTAGGATGCTACTGGAGATCTGTGGATTACCAACCTGGCCCTGACTGTGGCCCTGACCCGGATAGCCCAGGCTAAACCAATCTCTTCACATCTTGGGAGCTAAGTATGGTAGACCCTGGTTAGTCTTCGAATAGCAGACCACCAAGGACGCCTGGAGTCACTATGCAGAGGCAGGCGATGGCAAACCATCTCTGAACACCTCTTGCCTTAAAAGCCCTACGCGGTCATCATAAGACAGCTGCAACATGACAGCATTTTCCAACGCCAACTACAGACGTTATGAGAAGGTCCCACTGAAATTAAACCTAAATATGTTTAAAGTGAGTTTTTAGGCACTGCCTGTTCCTTCACCTCCACTTGAGTGCAGACTGCAGGCTTGGAACAGGGATCTGCCTTTTTGTTTGCTTTATTTACTTACTTACTCTGTTTACATCCTGCCTTTCTCCCCAATGGGGACCCAAAGCAGCTTACATGATTCTCTCCTCCATTTTATCCTCACAACAACCCTGTGAGGTAAGTTAGGCTAAGAGTATGTGACCATCCCAAGATCACCCAGCAAGCTTCCATGGCAGTGGGGATTCAAGCCTGGAGTTTCCCAAAGCCTAGTCCAACAATACTATGTACGTTAAAGAAAATGTACACAGAATTAGATAACATAATTACTAGTACCACAAATTAGAGATCTCTGCAAACAAGCAGGGCATTTACTAACCAATAACTATTAGTTTATTACTATCATACTTCAGAACTGCTGCATAGCAATGTCAGTATTACTATCCTAACCCGGATAGCTCAAGATAGCCTGACCTCATCAGATCTCAGATGCTAAGCAGGATCAAGACCTAGTTGGTATTTGGATGGGAGACCACCAAGGAAGTCCAGGGTTGTTACGCAGAGGCAGGCAATAGCAAATCATCTCTTGCCTTGAAAACCCTACAGGGTTGCCTTAAGTCAAGTGTAACTTGATGGCACTCTCCATCCATTACCAGTGTTCATTTTCTGAGGAGACCAAATTGTATACCAACTCTGGTGATTACTGTGGATTTACTGGTTCTGCTAGACATACTCCCCTCTAGTCTTAACTAACTCCTCCCCTTTTCAGAAGAAGGAAAAGAGATAAACTCAAAATCCAGAAATCTGTCTCAAAAGTGCATGGCAGCTCATAACCTCACACCTTTAAAAATACTAGCTTATATATTTTATTCTTTTACTAGGAATCTACTTTCAGAATTATTAGTATTGCAATAAAAGTTTCAGAGTTGACAAAATTTAAACTGATGTGCTGTTGAAACTGAGCTTTCTACATTGGCATAATTTTTAACACAAACTTGCGATCTGGCCATCTCTCCCAGACTGTGGAATGCAATCCTATGAATCTGTGAATGTCAACATAAATTATGTATGGGGGCCATCTATAATTAAGGGATGCTTCATTCACAGAGGCAAATTTCTACACAAAAGGAACTTGTGCACATCATAAAATGTGATAGTCCTACTAGCATACAGATAGCTAGCCTATGCATGTGTACTGAAAAGTTGTGTGGGAGGAAGACTTCACCAATACAATGTATCCACAATTATTATTGTTATCTATTAAAGCAAACACATAAAAATCATGCAATTTCCCAGTTGTTTGCATGTAAAGACTTGGTAATATGTGAAGCAGCTTCAAACAGCTAGATATCAAAAACTGAGCACATACTTCAACATTTACAAATAAACTTCAAGATTAAATGAATGCATAGCAATAAAAACTTTATAATCATAAGGTCTTTTTAAAAAGAAAGAATGTAGCATTGATATAAAACACCTTCAGATTAAGGATTATAGTCAAAGCACACTTTGCTAATCTGCATTTCACATTTTTCTTTGACTACTACCACAGCCAATATTTCCTCATTAAAACATAAAATGAAAACTACATATTTAGGTCTATATTTGTATGAAAGCTTAGTCTGCTATGCAATATCACAAAGTCACATATTTCTGCACTGGTTTCATCCCGAGGCCAGAACAAGGGATAAAGAATGTCACAGGAGTAAATGGTTGATAGTTTAAATAAACAATGCTATGAACTTTTGACAGTCTGTTGACCTGTGTGAGCACTCCTACTCCAAAACAAACTTAAACACCAGCATTTCAGCTTCTAAAGGAAACAAATTGATAATGAATAAAATCAACACTACAAAAGCAAGACGGCAAGCACAAGACTTTTTGAAAATAATGGGGGCAAAGTCAGGTTATATGTAAAGCGTATATTCTGAATAAGTTCCTTTTGTAGGTTTATGCCACATCCGAATAGGCTTTAATCCCAAAGGCTCAGACAACAGGCCATAATGACAAAAAATGCAAGATCCTCAAAATGCAAGAAAGCGGTTAATCCCTCTTTAAATGAGACGCCTAACAACTCGTACAGTATCAGACCCGGGGAAAGGGGGCGGGAATAGTAGCAAGGAATAAGGCTAGAGGGCAGGAGCTTCCGGACAAGAAACAATCTGGTTTCGATGTGTATACGAAAAGAGACAGCTAGAAGAGAGCTGGGAAAGGAAAGAAGGCGCGCGCGTCGGAAGGGCACTCGGCGTTTGTTTTGCTTTTTTCCCCAGCGGCACCTGTAGCCCGAGGGCAGATGAGCTGTCCGTCGCTCCCTATGGCTAGTTCCTCCAAACAAATAATTACCTTTAAGCTGGGGCAGCGGGGCGAGCTCTACTGGGCTGCTCTGCGTCCGGAACTGCGAGGAGCCCTGCGATCGCTTCTGCTTCTGAGCCTTGCGCACCGATCTCCGCGTGAAGCCATCCACTTTCTCCGCGGCGGAGATCGCCGCCGACATGGCTGCGCGTGGAGAAGACACAAGGGGGGGGCGCCGACTCTCCCTTCGTAACACATCCAGTAAGGCAGCGGGGGGGGCGGGGGGGGGGGGGGGAGCCAAAAAATAAACCCCCCCCCGCCGAGGAGGACGGGAAGAGGAAGACTCTCGATCCAGCAGCCCCGACAAGGGCGGAGTTTCCCAAGAACGAAGAGGCTCTTCTTGACCCCAAAAGGGTATCAAAGCAAGGAGAACGAACACCTTGGAGAAGGGGGAGAGCTGCTTAATTACAATCCCCACGAAAGAAGTCGCTTCCAAACTAGGCGAAGGCGGAAAAACCTCAATGGCTTCCAATGGGGGGGGGGGTGAGCAGGGTGGAGGGATGTGGGGGTCGGACCGAGGTGTCTGTGTGTGTGTGTGGGGGGGTTGGATTCCAAAGGGGAAAAGAAAAGAAAAACAAAACCGTTCTTAATCCAGGACTGAGGCCCCGCCGTAATCTCCCGCGCTCGTCTCAATCGGAAGGAGCCACCATTAAAAGACGAAGAAGAAAAAAAGGAGGGGGGGGGCCTTTACTCCACAACCACCACCGTGCCTTCGCCGCCCGCCTACGAGCAGCAAACTTTGTCGGCAGCGTCCGGGCTCCTGAGGTGAAAGAGGCGCTGTTATTCCTCTCAGCCAGGCTCGCTGTGGTTGCCTGGGCCGCCCCGCCAAGAACTCGCTGTCATGAGCTGGAGCTTAGCGGAGACCCGAGCGGGGAAGGGAGGGAAGGAAGGCGGGCGGGCGAGCGAGCGGCCGGACTGCAGCCTCCTCAGCCACCACCGGGAGCCCCCCGGGCTTCTTCCGCTAACATCTCGTCACTCGCTCCCCCCGTGTGCCCCCCCCCCCTACCCCTCCCCTTCTCACTCCTTCGGGCTCCACTTCTTCCAGGACGCGGCTTCCTCTTCCGCGGAGCCCGTCCGCGGAGCCCAACGTAACAACCAAGGGGCGAATCTTCTGCTCCAGAACAGGCGCACAACTTGCTCGAAGCGAACGAGCCACAAGGGCGACGGAGTTCCAGAAGGGGGCGGGGCAGAGCGAGAGCAAGGAGGGAAGGAACGGAAGACGGTTGCGGCAGCCATTGGAGGAGCCCGGTGTAAGGATAATTGGCAGAAGCAAAATTAACCAATCGGAGAGCAGAAGCCTCACAAATTACTTCAGGGGCGGGGACCTGGAACCGATCGACCTTAGGAAACCGCGAGAGTGACGCCAGATTGGTCCAATGCGGGAAGCTAATGGGAGGAGCGTCGGGCGAAGGTGATGAAAGAAGATTGGGAGGCGAGCACCAGGGCGGGATGAGCGGATAGCCAATGGGGGACAGGGAAATGGTTGAAGACAAGCCGTGAGTGCCTGTGCGCGCGAGCGTGGAGTTTGTTTTCATATTCTGGTTGGCCGTGGACTTAGTCCTGTGGGGACGCAGAGAGAAGAGCCCTCCCCCGCCGTCTGTGGTACCGATAGGGTTGCCTGCGTTTTTTGCAAAGAAGACCAGTTACTTTTGTTTAACCTGACTGGTAAGTGATGTTCGCCTCGCTCTGGTGGGCCGAATTCTGTGCTTGGTTGCTTGTAAGTACTGAATGACTAACAACAAACAAACAAACGTGGTAATATGTTTCATGGCACTTGCTGTCCCGTCGAAGCCCGGTTACTAATCGGCTGCGATTCCATTCCCTCTGATCTGGCTCCGTGATGCTCAGTGAGGCTGAAGGCACTCTCAGACTCTTAAAAAACCTGCTGGCTAGGAATGGTTTTCTTTAGATTTTCCACTTCTCTGCACGATTGCAACACCCTTAACCACCAATCGAGACCCAGTTACCACTTTTGTCTTCCCAGCCTGGCCTTCCTCCTGGCAGGTGGGGATAGGTTTTGCCTATTGAAGATCAGCCTGTCATGAAGCCATGTTAGGGGAAGCAGTGACTAGTGATTATGTGTATGCCACAATGTGAAAGTATTCCTGTAATCATTTTCCACCAATAAAAGCTCCTACTTGAAATAGTAAATATATGTTCACTCTACCAAGTGTTTTTAGAAAGTGTGTAGATCTAGGTGGGTTTTTTGACCTATAGGGCTTCTGATTGGCTACTGGAGATCTGGTTGGCTATGTAGATTTGGAAAAAGTTGCTTTGGCAGCAGCTGCCACTACAACACAAGGATCTTCACAGGGCGACTGAAGGTAAGCTGTGTGTATACAGGAGAATATTTTAAAACAAACTTTTCATTCTAAAAGGTATCCTGTTAAAAAGAGCTTCTTCCTGAAATGCTGAAGAGTTGTTTTTGGATTTACGCATGTCTTCACTCTTTGACATTTTGTGGTTGGCTCTGCCAGCAGTCATCTTGTGGTTGTGCCTACCACCCTGTGTCAAGAATTCCAAAGGTCACCTCAAGTTTGGAAAGGTTGGGGACCCCTGCTCTAGGTGGTATGTTAGGGTAAATGTATAAAGATTAACTTTAGGTCTACGAGTTTCTCTGCATGGTGGCAGAAAGAAAATGTAACCAGACCATGATAAAAACAAATCTGGAAAACTCTTCATTGTTCTCTGAAGGCTTTATTCAAATTCACACTTTGTTCAGTGATTAGTTTTACTGCAAGTTGTGCAAGGTTTACTTTCTCCATTAACATTGCAGTCTTAAGCTGGTTTACACCCTTATAAGTCCATTGAGATCTGTTTAGGATTGCACTGTAACACTCTTCCAGAGGGTTTGCAGTGAGATATACAATATAAGCTTGAAATAAAGCTCTCAATGTATGTTCTTTCTCAGCTAGGAAAAAAGCAGTAAGTGTATATTTCTCAATCCTATATAAGATCCCATCTAATTTCTTTAAAAAATCTGGGAAGGAACAGAATCACATTTTCTTTCATGTCTGTACCACAATGAAGCTGCACCCATGGAACCTTTCCTTGCTTCAGAATTAATGGAACTCCTAAAGGTGGAATCTGAAAATAGACAGGTTTACACTGTCCTGTAAGAACCAGGTTCTTGTTCTGAAGTGCTATCTTAAAGGTAAAGGTTCCCTTGCTCGAAAGCCAGTTGAATCCGACTCTAGGGTTGCGGTGCTAATCTCTGTTTCAAGCCGAAGAGCCAGCGCTGTCCGAAGATGTTTCTGTGGTCATGTGGCCGGCATGACTAAACACCAAGGCACACGGAACGCTGTTACCTTTCCACCAAAGTGGTACCTATTTATCTACTTGCAATTTCTTGCTTTCGAACTGCTAGGTTGGCAGGAGCTGGAACTAGAGATGGGAGCTCACTCCGTCATGTGGCAACTCAGGTCTCAAACTGCTGAACTACCGACCTTCCACAGCCTGCAGTTCAGCGTCTTAACCACTTGAGCCACCACAGCTATCTTAGCCTTATGTTAAGAGGCTCTAATGGCATTAAAATGCTTTTTACCAACTTCTGGTTAGTGTGCTAGCAAGTGCCTCATGGATAGAGCTTCATCAAATTTTACCATGCAGTGGTAATATCCAGGTTGGAGTGCTACAGCATATTCTATGTCATCATGCCTCTAAAAAGCATTCAAAGAGCTTTGGGTAGAAAAGTGGGATATAAATATGCTTAATTTGCTGGGCTATTATGTGGGACTTGCTGGATTCAGCATATTTTGTTGGCGTTATATCTCTGCTAGCCTTCAGTGTGTTTCTGGTGCAATTCAAATTGTTGTTTTAGTCCATAAAACTCTACGTGACCTAAGACCAGAGTATCTGAAGGACCACATTCTTCTGTATAAATCTTTCTATTCCTATTTGGATACTTCTGTGTTGAGGGGAGAGCTAGGTGGGAGGAGGGGCTGTGGCTCAGTGGAAGAGCATGTGATAAGAGGGTCCCAGGCTCAATCCCGAGTATCTCCAGCTAAAAGGGCCAGGCCGTAGGTGATGGTGAAAGACCTCTGCCTGAGACCCTGGAGAGCTGCTGCCAGTCTGAGTAGACAGTACTGATCTTGATGGACCAAAGGTCTGATTCAGTGTAAGGCTCCTTCATGTATGATCATGTGTGAACTAGGAATAGGGGATTGTCTTTAACTGTTTGTTTGACAGCAGCCCTTCATACTCTTGGATTCTAATCCCAGTTTTGTTTTATTTTCTTTAGCTAATCCCAAATTTGTCATATTTTCTTGAGCCTTCAAGGAACTATTTTCTTGTTATTGCAGAGTAATTGCCCCATATGGGTTAAAGTCTAACTCCCCATTTTCATCAACAGGCAAATTTTGCTCTAATGAAGGATACACCAAACTGTGTAGTCATATGTTGCTAAAATCTGAGTTAATCATCTGAAGCTACCAATTAACAGCCATGTATAGGCAACTAAATTATGCAGGAAACGGTGGGTTCATGTTCTGTAGTAGGGAACATGAGAAAAGCAAATAAATAGAATTCTTCAGTTGTACGAATATAAATCATGAATCCTTTCTTAGCAACATCCCTTTCAAGATACAAGCATCTTGTTCATGAAGCAGGATGCTTACACGACAAGGGCACATTATCAATATTGCACCACCTTTATTTCCTTCCATTGGTGCCATGGCTTCAACCCCATGCATACCTCACCAGATGTCACATTGACCTTAGTGGAATTTACTTCTGAGTAAACATACATAGGGCCAGGCTTTGGAGGAAATACGATTGCTAAGTTCAATAGTGAGTCTAATAGTATAGAAAGAAACCTGTAGCTGGAACACAAGGGCTGGTGTAGCATAGCATTAGCTCAGCAGATCAAGAAGGCTGCTTGTTCAAATCTCATCTCTGCCAAAAACTCACTAGGTAGTCCTAAGCAAGCCATTCTGTCTCAGCCCTCACTTGCAATATAAGGATAAGAACAATCACTGTCTTTCAGCGCTCTTGTAAGAATGGCAAGAAAGCTAATGTAAAATGCTTTCAACACTAACCCTTACAACAACTCTGAAAGGCAGGCAAGCTTTATCCCCATATGAGGTGCCAAGGCTGAGACAGTGTATTGCCTCATGTTGTCTAGTGAGTTTTATAGTCAATGGAGGCCTTTGCATCTGCACATA